TTTGTTTGTTTCAAATTTGACCAAAGCTGCCATGTTAGACCTGAGCATGTAACCTTCCTGTTTGGGTGCTTAATCAACTGTTCACAGTCTCGTCTGAACACATGCAGTGTGTCAGAGTTTGAACTGCTTACAGCCCCACATGCAGAGCTTTAATCCAGGGCTGCAGGCTGGAAGCTGCAGGTAAACACAGGCTGAGTGAAAGCTGCAGCTTCATCACCAGTGTTCACAGAAGGTGTCTTCAGTTAGTGCACAGCTGTGTGTGTGTGTGTGTGTGTGTGTGTGTGTGTGTGTGTCAGCAGAGACTCCAGATGATGGTGAGCATGGCCATGATGCCATTAAGAACAGCAACTGCATATCCCACGTGGAGGCCATGGTCAGAAGCGTCTCTACAAGAAGAGAGATATTATTGATTATTATTGATTATTATTGATTAGTGTTATTTTAATATCAAGAAATTAAATGTACAGTACTGTAAAACTGTTTTACAGTACTGTAAGTATAATATAGAGTATAAAAGTATTTCCCTTTTCCTCGTTTACCTTTTTTTCATATTTGTTAGACTTAAATGTTTCTTAAATAGCCAAAGATAAATCGAATAAATACAAATGCAGTTTTTAAATCATTGTTTCCTTCATTAAGGGGACGAAAGAACACAAAGGCTCGCTGCTTCGGGAACAGCGGGTGTCTGTAACTCAGGAGGTTGGTGGTTTGATTCCTCACTGTTTAGATCTACGTGTGAAATATCCTCGGGCGAAATACTGAACCCCAAGTTCCTCTCTAATGCATCTGCTGGAGTGAAGTCTCCAAAACACAGCAGCAAGTCCACCTCTGAATGGCTCAATAAATACATGAAGGTTTGGCAGTGACCCAGTCAAAGTCCAGACTGAAACCAGACTGTTTGGCCTTAAACAGGCTGTTCATGCTGGAACAAGGGCCAGTTACTTTGGAAGAGTTCAGGGCCAGGTAGATTAGGATGGATTGTCTTAATAAATGAAAACTGCACTTGGTATTTACTCAGGTTTTCTTTGTGTAATATTCAAATTTGTTTGATCTGAAGAACAGAAGAGAAAAAATGTGTAAGAAATCAGCATTATAAGGGAGAATTCCTGATTCTTCTGCTCATACAAAGCGTATCCCAGTGTGTTACCTGACGTGGGCCACTGTCCGCAGCGTCGGGAAATCCAGACCAGGCTGGAACGAGTCAAGGTAGGTGAGCATCCACGAGAAGACGCAGCAGATGCATCCTACTAATACTGACAGGACCAGGAGACTCCAGAAGCCTGATTACACACAGTGCAGGGTCAGGGTTTACAGTCGTTTTACACAATAAGGGAGAAACCACTGTTGTAGCAACAGCATCATCCTTGTCACACTGAGTTCGACTGCTTCCACTCTCCTCCGTACTGATAAAACATGATTCGTTTTTGTTTTGGTGTTACAATAAAAACAATATATACAAAAACACAGAACGTTTGGACCCACAGTCTAAATAAACACGTCTA